CCACTTACTTCACCAGGACCTAAACGCTCAGTTTCTAATATGTTCTGATAGAAAGATCAAATGGTGAACTTGTGGGAACTGAACTTGTATGGTAAATAGCACCGATGCCCTCAAAATACACCCCAGTCCCTTCTAATGACTAGGGCATCCTGTCTGGGAACACTCAAGTGCCTACAAGAATCCCAAGTGGCCATAAATTTAAGGCACAGTGTTTCATCACCCTGAAATTCTTAAGCATCTTGTAGCTATGTTTAAGTTCTAAAGGGAAAAACATTCATCTGAAGTGTGATCCACCAGAAGACAAACCCCAAAACTCTGCAAAAATTCTACCCTGAAGTCTCTTTACTGGCCATTAATAGTAGCATTTAAAGAGTGCCTTCTTGTACTAATTGCTTTAGAAACAGAAGCATTTCAGAACATAAAACTGAGAGCAGATCTCCAAAGACAAGTTTCCTGAATGAGAACGTGATATACTCATTGAAGGTGTACCTTGAAACTTCTCTGTACCTAAGACTTCTTTAAAAACAAAAAATCCACACCCCAAACCTGAAACCCCAAAGAAGCCAGGAACTGAAAGGTGAGCTGGAATCGACTTAATTTTTAACAGCCTTCGGGCAGCCGGGTGTATGCAGTGAAGCAGAAGCACGCTTGTCTGCTTTTCAATAGGTTGGAGCTGTCAGAGATGCTGCAGATAAATTGTCAAGCCCTGACTGTCCTAAACAAACATGATGTTCAGCTGAACCCTGTGGAGGCAGTTTCTTCCCTTGCTGCAGTTGCTGCCTGCATTAAATTGATCAAGAATGCACAGGCTTAAAGCAAGAGTTAGCCTGTCCCCACGTGCACAGAGGACCAGCCATCCCTGCAGAAGGCATCTCTTCCCCACATTTTTCTCCCACTTACCCCAAAGGTTTCCCATAAACAAGATGGCTCCTTGTCTGTATCAAGCCCATGTACCATAAACATGACCTGACCCACATTATCGAGTTAAATTCATTTTATTTAAAGCTCAGTTTCTCCCCTGCCCTTCCTCCCATGGCACATTTATCAGAAAGCAATGCAAGCAGATTCCCTGATGGATTTTTGATCCCTTCTCACAGCGACTTCCCAAAGTTGCCCGTAAAGAACCTGAGGTAACCTAAACATTAGGTAAGGTCTACAAACTCAAGAAGGTGCCACATTAGGGGAGATGAGTTACTGACAATACTGAAATCAAACACAAGAATTAAGAACTTGTCAGAATTTCAGGCAGGAGCTAGAGCTGCTTTGCACATGTTCTGCTTAATTGTATTGAGAGACAAGAAGCCAGTTGATTTCTCAAGGTATTTCACTCAGTTTGCAAGGTTTTAGCTGTATAGTTCGCAATATTACATGCTCTGAAAATGAAATTCAATCCCCAAATCCTTCTAGCTGGTTACTCATAAAATCCATTAAGTTGAGGCACAAGCAAACCAGGCTCATCTCTTTTCCTCTCAGTGCCTATTACATATAAATAGTAATTATTGTTCCTGGCAAGGCTCTGGTGTCTCTTATGATTCTGCACTTTAATGATCTGATTTCTTAGTACTTTCCACTGAAGAATATATTTAACAAGCATCCATGCTTCCTCCTCCATGATAGGATTTAAAATTATGAATGTAATAAAGACAATGATGTTGCCAATTTCATGATTAATAGCTTAAGGAGACATTCACTGAGCCCTCATTCCCCCCATTATCACAAATTCACAAGCTGCACAGCTTTGTAAAATTCAACACAGACAAGACTTAACTCTATAGTTACACAGCTAAATCAATAAGCAATACAAGGAGGACAGTAATTTAGTTTGATCTAGAAAAGCAATTTAAGTCCTACCTGTTCTGTTGACAGATTTGTGTTTTTTAAATGCCACCTTAGTAGAAAGTGTCTAATGAAAGATTTCCACCTTTATTTATGCAATATGCAACATCTCAAATCTTGTATGTTGTCACTACTCAAACCACAGTAAGTTGTATCACTGTGATACTACAGAACAGAGAGCATCATTAGCGTACAGTTCAGTTATAGAACTGATCAACTGGAGAGGCTTCTCCTAATAATATAGATGTCAAAATAAGCTGCTACAAACGTTCCCTCAACCATCACATCAATTGTTTTTAAAATTAAAAGGAAGCCAAACTGCTGATAGAAAATAGTGTTTATGGTAAAACTCTATTTTACTACTTCACAGGAACATGGACTTCATTAGATGCAAGAACACACCCAAAAAACACAGTTGTTGCTCGGTGGAGTTAAGTCTGCATCACTTCCCAAGGTTTAAGTTTTCACACTGACTTGAATAAATGCTACAGTAGAAAATGCCAATCAAAACTCTGAGAAAGCAAAGGCAGGTTAAGCTTTACGCTAGAGATGCAACCCATGCCAACTCCTCTTTGTAAGCCTGTCTGGCTCGGTAATCAGCGCAAGTGAAACATTCAGACTTCACACTCAAGAGGGCCACGTGGAATGAAGCAACAGCATATTAGATAGTACAAAGGTCCAGCCTCCACTGTGCAAGTATCTAACAGCTCAGCAATAGGCATCTCTCTACTTACCTTAAAGAACCAAGGCCACATTTTGCATTTTTTTATTTGTATCAGCTGCACAGTCACTTTAAACTACAGATTAAAGCAAACAAAATGGAAAGTAATGATTTATTTCCAATTGTGTTTGAAGTTTGTTATAGCCCAGGTAGCTTAAATTTGTTGCGCACAAGATGGAGGCTTTACCAGTTCTGGACTATTTGTATAAATCAGCACAGTGAGACAATCTTTTCAGAACAAGTCGTGAAATTTAAGCATCAGCCAAACCAGTTCAGAGTGATTTATGAAATTCTGAAGATCACATTAAATGGAATTGCTAACAGCCATAACTACATCCACATAAATGCGCCTCTCATAATAAAAACATTCTACATAGCTCTGAATGTTTCAAGAACCAGTAAAATGACTACAGATTATGGAGTCCATCTCCTTTAAGGCATCAAAGACATTCTCAAGGAGGAGTTAATTAGTCCAGTTTCACAGGATACGCCATTACAGAATCCGAGATTCTCACTGCCTGTGATTAATTTCAACCCTGCACCAACATACTTTGCTTGCATTAGCTCTGTTTTCAATTTCCCCTCCTTTTTTTCCAGAGGTCTTTCACTGGGGTGTTCACAGCTGGAGACTCAAGTGTAGCTCCTCTGTGCTGCCCCATAACCAACTGTAGCACTTGTCAGCAAACCTCTAGATGACAAGGAAGCACATAAGAAGTACTTTCCAACATGCATGTTTCCCCACCCTGTTCTCCAATTCACAAGACAGCAGATTCACATGCAAGCTCCCCTCCCCTCCAACGATCTGGTACACATATGCACTTGCTTCAAAGCATCCACATTCCCATTAAACACAAAGTTTACAGAAACAAAAAAAAACAAACCAAAAGTTCATTGTGCTTTTACTGATACCACTGATATACGGATCACGATTAAAGACTCCTTCCAACTTCTTATGTAGAGGAAGATAGATCCCTACCAACCAGTAGCAAGCACCAAGCTTCAGGAAAGGACTACCTGTGGTCCAGTGCTCCAGCACATTCCCAAGCAATTAAAAATATCCATCAGTGAGGCAACTTCCACAAAAAATAAATGTCCTCCTTGGAAGCACTGAGTCTCCTGCACTGGCACACTGTCACAGCACACCTTTCAAGCTTCCTCACCAAACAGCTTAAGTTCTGGAAATAAATGCAACTTGCTTATGCAGTTCCCTTTCTGTATTTCACTCCCTTTCTGCAGGGAGTCTTGCTTGAGGATATAGCTTCTATTGCATGCATCCAAAGCTGGCATCACTTTTGTGTCTCTTCCTGGCCATCCAATTCTCCCTCTTTATTCACACTAGTATGCACATTCAGCGACAAGTCACACTGAAGTTACTCTGGGTTAACAGCAGCCTTTTGGCTGCATTAGTTTTAGCCTGGATCAGTTCAGCTGATCCCATCACATGGCCGTGTTAGCATTTGGACCATTCAGGTGATAGCAGTGCAGAGAGAAGATAAGAATGAAAGCACTGGCTTGCATGTTCTACCCTAGCACGTAAGAAAGTACATCCCAAGTTTCAGTTTCCATGGAAGTCACCCTGCACTGCTCACAGTCACTCGCCCCAAGAAGGTGCTGCTGTTTGTATCAGTAACACTTCAGGGAAACACAAACAAACCGTATGCAGCAGGGTGTTCTGCACCATACAATGGGCAAACAAACATTTAGTCCATCTAAGTCTGCAAGTTATTTCTGATTCAGTAAGTTCCTTGTTTAAATTATCTGAGCGCTTTAGGCCTTTCTTATCTTGCTAAATTAAGCCAGTCCTTGCCAGCTGCCAACAAGGGGAAGTGGGAACACACAAGGATACCACAGGACCTCCTTCTCCAGCACAACACCGCTTGCTTCCACCTCCCAGCCTGACTGCACTTGGTGCTCCCTCACTTCTCCCTGCTCCTTCCTGTAATCTAGAAGGGATTTGCACCTGGCTTAGTGTAAACCTGAATTAATTTGCAAGACATGGAAGTCGAAGTGGTTTTCCTCCATCAGAAGTCAGGGCTATGGACGGACACAATGTGAAACTGTGCAGCAAATGATGTTTAGCATTGAAAATAGCTTTCCTCTCACTTCTTTATCTGGCAGAAAAACACAGCAAAGACATTCGCTGGTGTAGCAGTCCCATGCAACCATCCCTTCAAACAAAAGCAGCTCTCTTCAGCAATGAGCACATCATAGTTTACAGACCAAGGTGAAAACCCAGGAGTCTCAAGATCCACTGCTCTCACTCATCCCTACCCAGTGCAACAACGCTGCCAGACTTGCCACCTCCTGCCCCTCCAGAGCAGAATGACATAATCTTGTTGTGTTTGTACAGCACCCACCACAAGTTCTATTATATCCAACCAGACTCATCTGTGCTACTGATCGCAAACAAAAGTAGGGGTGTCTGAGACAATAAAACAACAGATGCAGCAGAAATGAATTAATTTATATTTGAACAAAGGCAAAAGCGAATAGGAGGTTAAAGACAACAAGCTTGACAGAAATTCATTTGAAGACAGAGCTGAAGGGACAGATGCTGAAATGGTACATTTCACTGCATACTGTGGAACTGAAAAATGACTGAAAGTCATCTGAGATTTAAACAGTTACAGCAAGGAGTTCATCTCAGTATCTAAGCTGTGACTCTTCGGGGCCAGCTTTATAACTCTCCTTAATACACACACCATGGAGACTTCTGCAGCATATAGGAACATACCATTAATCAGACTGACTGAACACCTTTGTACTTTTTATTATACAGACAGGTGCTGAAGCTTTTTTGTGCAAAGTCTGCTTTTTATCTACAGGGACAGGCTGATAATGACACTGGATAAATGTTAACAAAGCAAACCTTATTAGCAACTTGAACTATTTAGAAAAGGGGTCTCCACAAATTGAACCTGTAGATGAGTTTAGCCACCCTAAAAAGTGATTCAGTATTATACAGCCACAACAGGGACAATGGAACTACCAAACAGATTCTATCTGTTCTTTTTATGGGATTATTTTTTTTTTTTGATACATTCAAAGCATTATTGCATCAGAAAACATATCATGCATCTTTATGCTTCCAGACAAATTCACCTGTATTTGTCATTTCTAGCTACATCTCAAAGGTGCACCAAATCTACAGTTTTATAGTTTTAGTTGCATGCTTTGCCTATATGCATGCTGAGATAATAAATATTAAATACAGGAAACAATTTAAGGGAACCAAACTGACATTAGGGATATTTTATGGCAGTTCTGTTATCTTCTGCCAGTTAAAGAACGTGTCAAAAAAGTGAGGTAACAAGTGGCCATACCACTCAGCTGAGAATCTTTCAAAATTCACGGAAGTTTTCAGAAATTCAAGTACACAAACACCAGCTGCAACTTGTCAGAAATGCCAGAGAAATTAGGTTGGCTGCATTCTATTAGTCTATTAGCTGGCATTCACACAGCTCCTTGTAAATCCTTTTTCTCACTCGGGGCATATCTTCCTGGGAGAACTGAAAAGGCTGGTCTAAGGCGAGGCACTTGCAGTACTGAGGAAAAGGAAAAGTTTTGATTGAAAAACAGGGCATTTACGATATTAACAATATAGGCCACTAATGTTTAAAAAGCAGTACTCTTACCTGGAGCACAAAAACCCCACAGTCACTGTCATTTTTCTGTTGTGGAATGCACTAAAAGGAAAAGAAGTAAGAAGAGACATGTTAGATCTTTACTTATTATTTTATTCTCTGACTCCTGCTTAAAGTCCAAAAGTAGATTTTTCATAACGAAATTAGCTCATTCTCAGAGCTAGATGTTCTGCAGCACAAGAAATTGGAGCTGTAATTACTTATTCTGATCCCAACTTTTGCAAGGTGACACAAGAATAACACCTAACATTCAGAAAAATATATAATACATGACAGAACACAAATTACAAATCTTTCTTTCAAGTTTATTGTCTTTTAGTGACCTACACAGAACAGCACCTTAATTAGTTTAAATAAATGTTTGTACAGCATTATCTGCTTTACACAGGACCAAACTATATCAGCAAAGTTATACAGGCCTAGAGGAAGATTAATCTCAGCACCCACGCTACCAGCAGTGGCTTTCTTCCTCCAGCCACACCAAAGGGTCTTGAAGAACATTAAGAGTGATACATTGCCAGGCAATAGGACTGAGCAAGGCAGTCTCGAGCGATAACTTTCAACCTTCATTATTTCTCCAAATATGCTCAATTTTGATATATGGAGCTAAAAAGTCCCACTCGTTAGTGCTGCTATATCTCTGACACTTGAAGAGTAAAAGTAATTATTTTTCCTCAACTCTCAGATCTTCTACCTCATAGAATGCAGGACAAACTCTGAATGCACAGGGTGTGCATGAGTGCAGAGAGGAATCATTTAATGATTATATCAGCATCTAAAAATAAACCTGTGCGAGGAGGAGCTGTTGGGAGTATGTCTAGTGTGCAATGACCTGTTTGATATCCTTGGAGCCATTATGGTATGGCTAGGCAAATCACATATTCCCTCATTTACACTACACACAAGTAAGTTATTCCCTTCTACAGTTGTCAGACTTTGTTTACTTGCCATCAAACACAGCGTGTCACAAACAGCCCTGGAGACCAAAGCCCTCTATCCATAGCAAATATAAAATATAGGCAGCAGCAACATTAGCCTGGTCCCTCCCTCACCAAGTCCCATCAATGTGGCATAATTCAGAACAGTTGTTTGGGAGAAGTGAGGAAGCTGAGTCTTCAGCTCATTCAGTGCCTGATCTCGTGCCAGCCTGGGCACCAGCTACAGATTTTGCTGCACAGACATTTAATTGTCCAGAGATTAGGCTGAGATCATCAGGTCACTTGCGGAAAGTATTACAGACCTGGTGGGAGCTGAATGAGCAACAGAGCTCTAACTCCCATGTGTAACCAACTCTGTTACTTCTAGCACCCTCCACATGATCAGCATAAATCAATTTACTACTTGCATAAATATTCGGGTTTAGAAGCAGCCTCCCAATATCTTAAGGGAAGTCAGACTCCAGAGATTGAATACTACCATTTACCTTTGTAACAGCCGTTTGCCAACCCTGAAGAAACTCAGGATGATTCTTCTCTTTTGCTTCAGTCAGCAAATACTTTCGAATATTCTTCAAAAAGGAAAGGAAAAAAGCAAAAATATTATTCACCAGCTACGGAATAAGAGACATTGACATCTTTGCTGGTATTTTTTTTGACAATGAGGACAAACTTCATGTGAGCATTAAGCATCAGGATATGAGCTCCAACTTAGAGGTAAAGAACTCTGGTGGGTACTATGCCTTTTACCATCAAGGCTCATTTAGGTCTGTCAAGGGAGCTTCAACATGCCCCAGCACTGCTGTACACTGATATACTTAATACTAGGCTAGCTGTGGCACTGGGGCAGAGAGTCAGAGTGCTCTCACATGCAGAGACACACAGCACAGTCTGGCATGTGTTCTCTCCTGGATTACTTGGCTGGCACCAAGACCCTTACATGTGATACGATAGCATTTTCCTCCTTGAATCTCAATACAAAATACTTCTGAGTTCTGCAGCTAATCAACAAAGCTCTAGGGAAGAGTTTTAGTGACATATAAGAAAAAATAGTCTGACACAAGCAAAGAAAAGGAAGCAAGATAAATGAGCCTATGGTCTTGGGTTAAGCAAATCCTATTTCTCTGTAAACAGGCTGGTACTTTATAGCGCAATTTAAACACACTCTACCACACTAACAATCATTTCAGTGGGTGGATCACTGTGGAGTTTTAGGTATTGGCCCCCCCTTCCACTAGAAAGAGCAGGAATAAAGGTGTCTCATATTTGTGAGATATTTAAGTGCAAATGTTTTGCCAAGAGCAGAATGGGAGAGGCCACTCTGCAAGAGACTCCAGGGCTGCTGAGAGGGACCCCCAGTTTATGCTGCAAGTTCAGAAGCTGGAGAGCACGAGGTCTCTTGCTCCCAGAATAAACATTAGCTTCATCCTCAGCAAATGCCAGCTCGAAACTAGTATCTTCATTCAGAAGTTCTAGCTGGGAACTCTCCTGGGTACAATAATTACTACTCTTCTGTAAGCCAACAACTACAGACAGTTAAAAGTAGAGGGCTGCTGCATCAAGCAAGCAATTAAGTTGACAAAATTAGCTTTTGTAAGAGGGTCATTACAATTTGCTAGTCCCAGCAAAAATTTCCTGGCTACTGCTTACCAGAAAAACTGGTAATTTAACTCCAGTGTTCAGGTTGCAGCTCTGAAAGGTTGCTGGTTTATAATTGGAGGTACACACCCCATACCAATGCAGACAGAGGAGAAAGGAAACAGGGTGTTAACAGCACAGCAACACATAAACCCCACTGGACAACACCACAGCATCTTCAGTCCTATTCTCTCACCCAGGCAACCTCCCCTAAAAAGGATTTATCATTACCACAATTTATCATTTCCTAAACATGCATCTCTTAACAGTTCAAAGAACTGCCTTTACTTTCCTTCTGGCTTGTCTGCTTCCCTGGGGCACTTGGCTTAGAGTCCCTGCTTTTTGTGGAAGTGGCAAGACAGAGCCACGAAAGGTGTGTGCTGATTTCAGAGTCAGGCTTATTAGCCAACAGGCAATCCGGTCTCAGCTCCCCACTCTGGTGTGACCCTCAAGGTCTGTTCTTCAGACTCTTTAGCAGGACAAGCTGATTCTCATTTAATATATGACAGGACAACAACAGACTCGCTGCATTTAAAATTTAAGGCTGAACAGATAAAGGAAAGGAGGGGTTGGTTTGTTCAAGAAAACAGTTCAAACTTTGCAGTCACAGCTGTCACTCTTACCTCTACACAAAACTTAAAATGAATGCCTTGGGAATCATAAAATGAAATAATTCGATTGGGGATGTTCACAGTAATGAGGGACCAGTGGACTTCCAGGTGAATAGGAATTAACAAGAGAGTCTTTTTAAACAAGTCCACCTGTAAAGAAGAACAATGTATTAGACACAGTTCCACAGGTACAACACAGCACAGACTAATCATACCTCAGTTGCTTCTCCACCACCCTTCGAGTCTTCTTTTGCCCGCTCCACTCTTTCACCACATTCTTCATGTTTATCTCATACAAAGCTTATCAGCATTCACAAAAACACAGTTACAGCACACAAAGTGGCTAAGGAGCCCTGCCCAGTATCATAGCCACTACTGTATTTGTGACAAAATCCTGCTCGTCTTGTACATTAACAAGTAGGATTTCTCGAGTCATGATGGTAATATTATTGAGCCTCAGTATGGGTTGAATAATGACACTCTTGCCACGTGAGCACCACTGTTTTCTGTGAGAGCTGCACCATGGATAGCTGACAGTCTCAGTGGTGTTGGCCGACACGAACTTCACCGTGAGCCAGCAGTGTGCACTCGCAGCCCAGAAAGCCAACTGAATCCTTGGCTGCAGCATAAGAAGTGCGGCCAGCAGGTCGAGGGAGGTGTTTCTTCCCCCCTGCTCTGCTTCTGCAAGACCCCACCTGAAGTACTGTGTCCAGCTCTGGGGCCCCCAACCTAAGAACGATGTGGACCCATTAGAGTGAGTCCAGAGGAGATCACAAAGATAATCTGAGGGCTGGAGCACCTCTCCTATGAAGACAGGCTAAAAGAGCTGGGCTTGTTCAGTCTGAAGAAGAGAAGGCTCCAAGGAGACCTCAGAGCAGCCTTCTAGTACCCAAACGGGCTGATCAGAGAGGGACTTTTTACAAGGGCATGTACTCATAAGACAACAGGAAATTACTTTAAACTGAAAGAGGGGAGATTTAGATTAGATATTAGGAATAATTTCTTCACTATGAGGGTGGTGAGACACTGGAAGAGGCTGCCCAGAGAAGCTGTGGCAGCCCCACCCCTGGCAGTGTTCAAGGCCAGCTTGGATGGGGCTTTGAGCAACCTGGTCTAGTGGGAGGTGTCCCTGTCCAAGGCAGGGGTGATGAACTAGATGATTTTTAAGGGCCCTTCCAACCCAAACCATTCTATGATTCTATGAAGCAGTGGTGATTACAAACATGCTACAAAACCAGCAAGCTGATGCAGTTTGTCTTCCTCTGCTATAACGCAGGTTCTGTGCCTTGTCAGATGAAGGCAGAGGAGGCGTGCATGATGCTTTGGTGAGCACAGGAAAGGAGAGAGTGAAGGCAGAGCAGATCCATCCTTTCCTGAACTTAACTTTGTAGCAGATGTACTGTGGTCACAGGCAAGCAAACAAGGGAGAAGGTCTTAAAGTACAGAACAAGTAGATCAGATGCAACACCCCCAGTGTCTGTGTGGCAGATGAGTCCTTATGCTTTTGGAAGCCAGCCAAGCCAGGGCCTTTCATGATCTTCCTTTTCCCAGCTCCTCTTGAAACGAGCATCTAATTACTGGGTTTTTGATGGTACAGTCCAGAAAATAAGCTAAAATAGAATACTGAACTAAACAAACTCATCCTGTGGGAAGATTTCCATGTTTGTTTTGTTTTGCTTTGTTTTTTAAGCACTGTGCAATTTGAACAGTACATAATTGCTGCAGCACTGGTAAAGACAGGTCGTTTGTAGGAGAGAAAAGTGTATTTTTTGAGTAACAGTGGGAAGCTGAAGACATGTCCGAGCATTCATAGCAGCTATCAGCCAAGCCTTGCTCAGAACAGTAATCCAAATGTACAAACATTGACAATCCCTGCTCCCATCTGCAGAACCTGCTTCCTGACCAGACTACAGCATACTCGCTACACAACGATCCATCATTCTTGGAGGGAAGCAAAGAGATGTCACCCAGCAGCAAGTGGAGCCCATAAAGGAAAACTGGAATAAGATAAATGAACCACACCTTCTGTGATGTCCAGCAACAGCAGAGCAGTGCTAAACACAAGGGTCCTCATGTGACCCTAGTTGTGGGATTGCTGCAGGTGTGCAAACCTGTAGCAGAAAAGTCAAAAAAGCCAGAAGCTGTAAGGGTCTTCAGTTAAGACCTGATGTGCAGAAAGAATGGTGGCAACCTAGATTTGCTTCACCATGACAGCGCAGTCAGCTAGCTGACATGAGGGTGGACCAGAGCAAGAGAGCCAATCTGATCAGTGGCCAGAAAAGTGAGACACAAACAGGAGCCTTGAAACCACTGCAGCTAGATGCAGAAGAGCATGTCTTACTGGGCTCTGGCCTCCCATATCCTGGGAGAGAACATTCATAAAACGTGGTACAATACTCTGGTTTGTTTAAAAAGCAGAAACAAGTTCCCCTTAATTGCATATTGCTGGACAAAGCAGTGTACTGAAACCTTCCAGTATAAACTGCTTAGTTCTCATTCTTGCTTTCAAGATTCTTCAGGAATTTAAGTGTAAATGCCTGAACAACTGCCCTGCTCTCATCTCATCCCTCCTCAGCAGTGACAGGAATACAGGTTGTGCTTCCAGAATCTACCTTCACTTTGGGGTTTTTTGCAAAACTTGGGTTGCTGGAGAAAAAGAACATTAAAAAAGTATCTGGGAATATTAAGCACCAATATTCAGTCTCTCTTGAAAGAGATTTTAATAAATTATATGAATAGACTTTATATTTGGATAATGAGTTCATATCTAGCATTTCACAGATGTGTGCTATTTAAGTGCTTCTGCAGAAAGATCATACATTCAAACATGGTCCTTGATTAGCTTTGCCTCATCTCCCATATTAGAAAGGATAAACATTCACAGAAGAAAAAAAAAAAAAAAAATAAAAGAGAGTACTGCTCTTTGTATTAGCTGCCTCAGAAAATCTCACAACCCATGACCTGGTATGGGTCCTGGAAAGCAAGGAGAATTCTGTTCTTCTCATGCAAACAGCGGTTCAGCTTATTAACTGTGGGTCTCTAATTTCTGCTTTTCAGTACCTGTATGTGTTACTCAGGAGTAACAATTTTATGAAACAATCCCAGTTTGAAATAAAAGGAAGAATCAGAATTAAGCCTGCTCTCCTGTAGATTAGTGTACCTGGCACTGTTAGGAGCACCAAGAGACATTTCCTGCAGCTAAATTAACAGCTGCATGAACATACACGAAGAGATAACCTACCACACCACTGAAGAATAAGCCATTCAAAGTACATTTTCACAACACAACCATACTAACTGAATAATGCCACCCAACTATTTTTATTAACCCCTGCCCACTTTGTATAGCTCCTCTGCAAACCCATCCTTTGCCAATAACACTTTGTAAATTCAAGTTAGTGATTCAACCCAGCCCCAAAGAACCAAAGCATTGATGACATGGAGCTAAAGGATACCTTTTTAGTCCATCGTTTCACCCCATTATATCCTTTGGTTACGAGCTGTCTATGAAAAAAACTGTTAAAGAAATGAACCTAAAAAGAGAAAGAGAAGGAATGAGCACAGAAATCCATGCACAATCATTCCCCCTCCCCCAGGATAATTTATACAAAACAATATGTAATGAGGCAATATTTAATGCAGGTTTAGAAACAGAACCCTGGTAGGGACAAACAGAGGCTCTGCCAAGCCTAAACTATTGCTGTTCTTCAGCAAGCAAATAAAACAAGACTTATTTCCATCTAATTTATGATGTGAGCCACTGCAGTATTTATATTTACACTTTTGTATCTCCAGGCATATCATGTTTAATTTTTTATTGCGGATCGACTTGCAAGATGAACACCAGGATAAGGAGTTGCAGGTTTTGTTGTTCTTTACAGGAATTAAGGAAGAGAACACTGGACTGTCAAACTGGGGGTGACGGAAAGAGAGTTCTTTGTGATTTTAGTTGTTGGAAGCGCTGAGATTGAAAAAAAAATAAATTAAATTGATCAAAATGGTTATTAAATTCAACTCAACACCATGATCATTTGTATTCAACTACTATGACCAGCTCTGGATAAAACCAGTATTCTGCATTCGTTTTGTAACTAGAGGGATGTAGTATACTTTGTATACAAACTAAGTGTTGTAAAGCCCTAAATTTATGGCAAAAAATGAATGCTTATGTTAAAAAAATATTTAGCTCCAGGTTAACACTATTATTCCTTGTGATTAGCTTCTTGCAATTACAGGAACAGATTAGTACAAATGGAAATCTGCAACATCTGTTTTAAACAATTCTTCTACTGTAGAGGCAGTAGAAGGCTTGAAAAAATGTTAGAAAATTCAGTATCTGAAAAGACAGTCTAACACCCATTAACTATGCCAACAGACTTCAAAACCACATTCTGAGGTAGCAGCACCAAATCTCCCATGAGGATTTCAATTACGCACTATGAAGAAAAAGCAGACACAAGCAAACAGATACAATCTCCAACACCCCAACCCTAGCACACACTCAGGAAGTATAGAGAATACTAATGAAGAATCACCATCACCACCAATCAAAGCAACAACACTGCTTTTTCTGAGCTTGAAGATTTGAAGAGTTACGTTCTGCAGGGCTCATCTAAAAATGGCTTTGTTTGGTTCTTCCTTTGTGGTCTCACCTGAAAATTGTTCAGCTCTCCTGGTAAACAGATGGCTCTTTATAATTGCCACTGCTGCAAATTTAGTCACAGAGAAGGTAGGGGTTGATTTATTTTTTTTTTCCAATTGCCACCAACAGTTACACCCCAAAGCTGGGAAGCAGTAAGCATTCTGTTCAGGATGCACAAACCAAAGAGAGTCCTGTAGAGTCACTGCTGCCAAGGAACCAAGCAGCTCTAGCACCAGTTCAGATTCACTAGGCAGGCAGCTGACACAGCTGGAGCCGTTACAGCCCCACAACTACAAGGTGGGCAGGTGGACAAGTGCAAGCAGCACATGTGCATGGTTCAGATGCTACAATTCATGGTTTGTCATCTCAGCAGAAATTCATCTTCATCAGAAATTTCACCTGAAACACTAGACTAGTGAGCAAGGGCATGGAAAAAGCACTTTAGAAGCAGAAAAGCTGGAGACAGAAAGCACTAGGGGAGGAAGGAGCATGGGATAAGCAAAAACAGGTCACCTGTCTTCTACAGGTACATTAGTAACATCAGCCTACCACAGAGATCACCTGCAGAGCTAATCTAATAAATTCCTGAAACAAGGGCAACAGCGCTGAAAACTGTATTTCAGCACAGGAAGAGAAGAAAATTTGAGTAGCAGATAGCAACAAATTATAACAGAACCACTCAGATCATCATTGAGCTAAATCTCAGTTCTGTAGCTGAAATACTCAATGTTTCAGCCTTCTCTCGAAATCTCTCACTAGGTACATTTGCATAATAACAAAAAACCTCACCTTTTCAGGGACTGCATCCATTACGAGTTCACCATACATGTTAATTATCTGTAGGAATTAGTAAATAGTTGAATACATACAGAGTCATTTTGTAAACTGCAAGTAAGTTCATAAGTTCCCATAAAATGTAGGACCCTTCACAGAAAAAACAGCAGTAAGGAGGTGAGCAATTATAGTGATTTTGGTGCAGTCTGAAGGACAAGCACTCTGGAACTAATCGTGGTTGGCACAGAGAGAGACTGTAACTAGCTGCTCTAGGTCTACCTTAATCTGAAATGCAGTTTAAGTCAATTTAAGTCTACTGGTGCATGCCATGGGCACTGCAGCCTTCATGGGATTTTGACTGTGTGCCACAGGCTGCTGCTTCACCCTGCTTTTGTTTGTTATCTGCTCAAGCTTGGGGATGGGGGAAGGTGCTAACACCTCTATGGGTAGCCACAATTTTCTCAAAATAGTGCAACATGGTTTCTTCAAAAGACAACAGTTCACTTGTGACACCTTCCATCTTCCAGACTCATAACCACTATTATTGCACCTGCCATTGTAAAAGCTGCTCACCACTTCTTTTAGTGTACAGTAAGGACAGTCCACCTATAACGTAGCAGAAGGTAAACAACTAATATCCTAATATTAATGGGCTAAAACAGGTTAAGGAAGCACATAAACATCAAGCATCTCTGACCTGGTCATTCAGCCAGTTTTGGCCTTCCAGTGTAGCTAAATCATCCATGTCTAGCATGTGCTTATTATAGAAGACCCGGAAATTGCACATGGAGGTTTTTGGATGTTTTTCCCGATACTTCACGATTTCCCTCATAATAAAAGGTTTTCTAAAACAGGATTGAAAAGGTAGAAAAAAAACCATACATCAAGGTTATGTCAAATGGACTTCTGTTCTGATAGGTGTTAGACATGGAGCATGCAGTAGCAATGCAAGCAATCTGTCCTTTACAAAGTCTAAAATTAGATAGTGCTACACACCTATGGGAGAAATCTTCATTAAAGACTTCATTTAATCTTCCCATGACATCTTTTTCACACAGTGGTACTAAACTGCCATACTTCTTCATAACTTCATCTAGGAATCCTTCAAATATATTAGAAAAATGAAAGTGCAATCATATAAAAGAACCTTCTAAGTTCACTACTCCAATAAAGCAGTCATTTCTTCCTAGTATGAGCAACAATCATTCTGCACCCAACCAACAAACAGCACCACACATGGCAAGTATATATCTAAGAAAACTGCACTCAAATTGGCAACATTAAATAAAAGCGAGGGAAGGAGGACAAAAATAAAAAAAAGCAGCAATCTGATCACTCATCTCCACAGGAAAAGATCAGACCCCATTCTTGCCATATACACACATATATTCATCAAACTAATTATACCAGTGCTACTAGGAGAATCCACACCCCTGCCTTTTTCAATTAGCAACTTAAATAATTTTACTGCAACAGGAAAAGCCATCAGTTTCTGCAACAGTTTTCATTGAAAAAACCAGTATCTTGTCCTTATGGTATGCGAATTACTCTTCTCAGATGTAAGCAGCCTTGGCTGGCAGAGAGTTTGCCGTCTGTTCAGTTCCTCTGCTGCCACCGTAGCAAACAGAAAAGGCATCAGACAGATTCTCAGCAAGCTTAACTCACTTAACCTTGCATCCTAGGGATGGCATTTAAGGTGACACAGCCAGCCGTGTCAGCTTGCCATTGCCTGGGAAAGCACTGGGCAGCTGTACCACCAGAAACAAAAGATACAAACTAGGAAATAATGAAGAGATGAATGCTGGAGGAATCTAAAAAGCCATGAAATAGATTATGTTTTCCTCAACCACAAGACTGGAACACTGGAGACATAAATTCCATCCAAGCATCCAAAACTAGTTCAAGAATGAAATAGAATGGAAAACAGAATTTCAACACTTGCTAGTGAATAGGGGAAAAAAGAACAAGTTGTCCAGCTTTCTGAAAATTAATTTTCGAGTGCTGCAGAAAACACACCTTTTGTATACAGAACGCTGGATCTGAGATCAGAGTCCAGGGATATCACACCAACCCAAACTACAGCGCTCTTCTCCAGCCAGGGTATGATGGCAGAGAGCATCGCTGGACAGTGTATGGTCAGCTATCTGCTTACTAAGACTTTAACAACATTTCCTGGAAACTTTTGAATATCATGATGGGAAGAAGCAAGACAAGAGAAACGTGTGACATAAAAAAGTGCCAGAAGAACAACAGTAAGAAAAGAATTAGAAAAGAAAGAAGAGAGACCAAGAACAAAACTCCAAAAGCTGAGAAAAACTGTGAAGTATAGCAAGAAGTACATCTGGATGCATGACAGAAGAAGGGAGGACTGAAGAGAGATCAGACAACAAGGAAGTACTCTTGATGGGAAGATAACCTTCCTCACAACACTGACACACAGCTGCCTAACAACTTTTACCCCTTACATCTCAGCAGACTACGACAGGAAGGATATTTCTCACTCTGGCTAGAAGTCTAGATAGACGATGCCTAAGGCGTATAAGTGTACCTTATTCTCTTTCAGCATATCTAATTTCTAAAAGCTTTTTATTCATACACCCAGAGGAAGGACTGTTCTCGTAGCTACAACTAACAGCAGCAGAGCTTTGGGAGACTGCTAGCTAGGCTCTGACTTCACTTTAGCTTGTGTAACTGAGTAACTCAAGGAGGAAAATACAAATTTTGGACCTAGTGCATGATCAGACACCCATCATAAACAGGATTCACCATGGAGCTCTGTATGATAACAAATATCACATCAGAATGCACTAAGTATTGCAGCCCATTAACATCTGAGACCAGCTGCTGCAGAGAAATTGAAAAACTGAGAGCATCCCCAACACTTACATGTGCTTCATGCATCAACCCTAGCAACTCTTGCTACGTTAGCAGTATCTTTAGGGTACAGTTAATTATTAACATTCCTAAAAATACAAGAACTCCTGTACATAGTTATACCAAAGCTAAAATTCTTTTTTATAGCTTTTCAGCTGAGAAAACTCAAGAAGAGCCATACAATCGGTATGAGTACGTAATGTAGACGTGGCTTAAATCCTCAGGGAGGAACCCTCAACTCTGAAGAAAATGGAAACTGGTCTCACCTACCTTCATGCAGAAGCCAGGTAAGAAAAACATTACTGTGTGGGAAAGCTTGGTGCATTTTCTGCCTTTTAATTTTTTAAGTTACTCGAGCCTCCTCTGAACAGGAATATGACTGCCTATCAGCCTGGAAAACAGTAACCTTTGCCAATCTGACAGAGTCTTGGTTCTTGACTGTTATGGAAGGACCACATATCTTTTTCTGTTGGACAAACTTTAAAACTCCACTGCAGAAGTGGTCCGTTCACTATGGTACCACAGTTTCTCTCCATTTGTCACATAGTGCCTGCTCCTTGCTGGATCATGTAAAGCCAGTCGTAGAGAAACACATCGCATACTAACTTGCAGATATGGATGTGGAAAGCTATACCATCTTTTGAGGTTCAATATCTCCTTCCTGATGTTTTGCTTTAGAGGATCAATTGAAAAACTGAAGGACAAAAGGTCTGCAGAAAAATCAGAGCATATCAAACTTCAAACAATCCCTTTAACACTAACACCAGCTTCAGGTTTATGGGAATCTATGAAGCAAATTTCTCCAAAGGAATACTTCAGTTACCAGAAAACCACTGATCTTGAACATTGTATTAATGGTACTAGGTGGCACAATGTGTTAATTTGCTGTTCCATACTATGTGTATGGTATGCTGCTAGACATAAATAAGACACTGATTACTATTTTTACCATGTTCCTCTTTAAAGAGACTATCTAAAACTGCATGCTCAGCATTGAGTACAAAAATTCCAGTCTTTCTGCTGAACCTTTGCTAAGACTACCCTTGCCTTTTTGAAAAATGTTATCTAATAAGATTCATTAAGCCTACTTTATGAACAATTGTAGAGAAAACTGAGTGACAATGAATAATATGTTATTGGCTATTGAAACCTGAGATTCATCAAGTGATTTAGTTGCACTATAAGAGCAAGAGAAGAAAAGATAAGGCTGGAAGTATTGGAACACCAGGGATTTTTCAAAAACCAAGCTGAGCAATAACTGTCAACCACTTATACCATTGGTAGTTTTAACCCCTTATCATCATCTGAACCACATGATAAAAGACATTAAAAATGCTTATCAACAATTTTTCATAAAGATTCCAATTAAATTACATTGTATTCTCTAAAACAAAAGAAGCAGAGGCACTATTCAACTATCCCTCAAAACAGCTTGTCAGATAAGCATAGATTTGTCCTCCCTTCATGCAGCTCTCCTCTTTGCAGCCTCATTTCATTAAGTGTTATGGTAAGTACTCTTTACAGTTCACAAAAAGAAACCATTTTAATAAAGGAATCAACACAACATGTAAACTCCACAACAAATCCAGCAGTTTTCAGAAACTCCTAGAAGCCCTAAGGTATGTAAAAAGGTGTACCACAAAGCCACGTCGCCAACTGCTCATCAGCCACCCGAGAAGTTTTCTGACTGTTCCTTTTGCCTCCTTTATGAGTTCCAGATTTTAGTCGTGTGCTTTCTGGTGAAGGCTCCTCAAGAGGACTTTTACAGTAAGGGTGATCTAGTAACTCTGCACTAAAAATGTCCAGGTTTAAGGAGCCTTCTACTTCCATTTGGCTAGGGCTGTCCTCCTTTTGTGCAAGCTCCATGGATAAAGGTCCATTTGAAAAATTATGATTGACATCGGAATCCTGTGAGGATTGCGACAGTATCATTCCATCTACACCCATAACCTCTTTAGATTCAGCATCATCTTGACCTGAAACAGAAATTTCTTTTCCTGTCACAGAGATGAAAATGTCAGAGCAATGCTCCTCTGCCACAGCCCCGTTGGTCTCCACCTGCTGCAAGGTCTCTGCCTCTGGAGATGCTCTAGCATGCAGTTCTGGTGGGACAGCATCTGCACTGCCATCAGGCCTTCTGGATTCTGGCTCCTCAGAACACCGCTCAGCACATGGTAACGCATCCTGTGTGAAGCGGACCTCATGTGTGCATGGTTCACTCTCCTCACCTAAAGATTTGGGTGTATTATGGTTCATATCTGTTAAGCTGTACCGGTTCCAAACACGGTTACTTTTAGATTTCCAGTAGGAAAGCCAATTACACAATCCACTTTCAAAATCTCTCTGAAGCGTCTCTGGATGGTCCCCCCTAACTTTCTTCACCCACCTTGGCTTGATTTTTCTCAATTTGCAGGTTTTGCCTCTTGCTCGAAGTTGTGGAGATTTTATAATTCTATAGCGAAATCTAACCATAGAAAGTTTCTTATGCATCATAAATAAAGATCTCTTTTTTACAGTATGATGGTTAAATTTGGACCTCTTTATAGTTGTCAAGGGTCCACAAGTTCCATTCCACTCCCTTTTCAACACCATTTCCTTTTACAGTTGTTTAAAACTACGAGGACTCTGTTGCCCTTACCATTATTGCTCTCCTCCCTGCTATATACAAAACTACCTTTCTTTACAGGTAAGGCAGCACCATCCAGTGTACCACATGAGACATAACGGCTGTTGCCAGAGATGCTATTAAGAATTGCAACAGTTTCAAATTCTTCATTCAAGTGATCTTCACTCTGAAAGAATTCATTGTTGAGTTTTCTTACTACTTTTCCAGATGGGCTTTTGGCTTTGGGATAGGGACAGGATCTTTTTGCTCTCAGTAAGAGGAAATCTGTACGGTTCAGTAGCAGGCTTTTGATAGGTTTCTGCATTTAGAGGCGCCTCAAGAGCCCACCTGCTCTGGAGCTCAAGTGCCTTCCTTCTGCACTGCAGTCTTCTGTACAGTTTGTTGTGATTTAAGCTCACAATTAGCTGAGCACTGTGTCTTTTCTTCTTAGCTAGGAAAAATTGCTTTTGGAAGCAGTATTTCCCAAGCTCCCCAAATCCAGTGGTCCATCTTCTAGACTGGGCCAGCAACTGACTTCTTTTCCAGAGCAAATGTTGCCTGCAGTTTTTCATTTTTCTGCTGCATTTTGATCTTGAAAACAGCTGAAAGAGTAAATGAAATGAATTCAGAGTTACCTTGACTGTAACATAATAGCAAAACATTAAGGCACATTCCTCAGGCAACATGCCTATCTAAAATTCCACCTGTCCTCCAAGCACAGTGCCACATTCCCTAGGACAGTCTCACTTGCAACAAGAGGGAAAAGAAGCAATAGTTGCAATGGCTTGGTGCATAAACAGGCTCTTCTCATTTACCTTCCCTTGAGGTAAAGCAATAAACAGGTAATCCCCACCCAGCCCATACTCCCTGTATATAATTTCTGACTTTCTGGCCTGAGGTTAAATCTTTCTCAATACCCATGCTGTAGAGCAAGCACAGTTAACTATCTTGCCTCAAAAAGCTTTTGAAAAACAAAACTTTGAAGTCCAAGTTAGTCAACAAGTGTGTGCAGGTACCCGATTCCATCAGTACTGTATAGAGGGAATACATATTCCTGTGCAATAGATGTTTGCAGGTACCCTGATAACACTTCTTATGCTCACACAAACTCTTCCCTTAACGGAACAGTCATAGACATGCTGCCACAGAAATTTTGATTCTCTGGCTAGATAAAGAATGACACAGCTTACTCTGTGAAACAGTTCCTCCTTATCTGCAGTAACAGGTCACTCCACAAGGCAACACCACCATCACCTTCTATAATTAGTGTTTATCTTTGCATTGACAAAGCAATATCAATTCAGGACACCAGTTAATCAGCTTAAAATTCCTTTCCCCACTAAAAACCTGCATCTCGTAAGTGTGCAATAAGAGACTAGACAGGAGTGTAAAGCCTGCAGAGTAGTATCTATTCACCTTCACTACATAATTAAAAATATTAATTCAAAGGTAGAAGAATCCAGGAACACAAGGGGAAAGCACCAGCTGCACACATAACATAGGATCTTTCATGTGACTTGTCCCAGACTCACCAGGTACATCACATCTCACATCTATATTTTACAACAGCTTTTCTTTTTCTTAAATTCAGAAATGGACTTTGCTCCCCTCTGTCCAACTGATTCTGACTTACAGACTATTATAACAAATTTTCCTTTAGCCACATCTGTCCTGGGCATTACACAGAAGCATCACCTAGCTGAAAATAAAGGAGCCTATAAGTGGAAATAAAACATTAACACTTGGACTTTGAAGGCAAATACGAATGCTAGATACCTGCAAAGCCAGGTATTTAGAGTATTTAAAGTCTGACTTAAGAAGCTCTGCTGCATTCTTCACTCTACTCAGATATAAACATCAGGTGGCTTTTTTTTTTCCTGTATTAATTGTTGTTGTGGAAGAGTGAGAGGGGAGTAGAAATGCAGAGGGGATGAAGAATATCATTTAGCACTCGGATAAAGTATCCCTACCACAGAGGAAACAGTCCTTAGAAAGGAACCTGGCTACCTCCACTGACAGAGCTGTGCAAGATAGTATAGCTTAACAGTGTAAGCACTGCAGTAGAGTCCAGCTCTTTTGTAACCCTCTACTAGTCACCATGCAACTTAGTTATCATAAAAATCAAGACATAACATCTAATCATGCCGACTTTCTCACACTTGCTCTTTCAGCACTTACATATTTCTCCATACTAGATCCAGTTTACTACTGGATTTTTTATTTTTTTTTTAATGTGACAAACTCTACATTTCTACCTATTGTGTACAGTACCTACAAAAGATTCCTTGAGTGGCCCCAGGAAACATCAGCCAAACCAGTGTCTTGCTACGACAGCTCACTGCAGCCACGTTTCCATTCAGGTAAAACAAATCAACCCAGCAAACCCACATCATTCTGAGCAGAGCCACATATAGCAGGTGCTTCTGCCAGTGCAGCAAGTCTTGAGTACTCTAAGAAGAGCACAGCACATACATGAAGGTCATGGTTTCACTGCTGCTCCGCCTCAACAATATGTGCCCAGGAACTGTGCAATATACATGCCAGGTTTTAAGAACACTCCTGAATGACTTGGAGTCATCACTCTTCTCCTTCCTCTCTCATTGCAAAGTCCAACAAGAAGCATCCCCTCCACGGGCATTGTCATGAAACTCAGTCATGGAAGAAGGCTGAGCAACCACCGATTTTGTGAACAGCCACGGATTACACGGGAGCTGAAACACCTACAGCTGCCATTGTTTCACCCATAGTAGACTGAACTACTAATCACAGTGGGAAAAACACTGAACTAGATCCTAGCAAAGATAAGTCCTGACAACAAAAAGAACCTGAGGCAAACTGGAATTGAGAGACAAGAATGGTGCCACAGTTTCAATGCAATCAATTGCAACAGCAGCAATCAAAATAGCTCATTTGCTTGTTTAGTGTCATGAAATCCAGCTTCTTACACTGCAACAAAAGATCTTACGAAAGCTATTCTACCCACATGTTCTTCTGCTTCATTTTTAACTGAGAGCATAAAAAAATGTTTCACATTATAATTTACAGGATTAAAAAATACCTCATGTTTGACTGTGATGCACACACCAATTTCTCCACATTGAAGGTTTTTTCTGCACAAAAAATCTTTAAAATGGGAAAGTCTAAGTCATTTAATCCAAGCAAACCTTTCTTGCTCTCTCCTCTTCCTTTTCAAACAATCAGTTTTGAGTCTGGATCCCTTTAAAGCAAAGGCCTCCAAGGAGTAGCTAATCTCAGTTCTAGGAGCTGAAACAGTTCACTTTCCTAACAGCAGTATTACTTTGAATGACAAAAGATAATCCATGTGCAAATATTTAATTAAAGGTGCTGCTTGAAGAACTTATTTTCCATCAGTGCTACAAGGCTATTACTGGTTTTACTCAGCAACATAAATCAGCAAGTCAAAAGGACAGCTTAAAAGCGTGTTGCTAGAAAAGGAACTGAAGTGAGCAACAGAAGACCAAAAATAAAGTAAGCACCACCCAAAGTTTAAGAAGCTGAAGGGAAAGTCACATCTCCACCCCATACATCGACAAAGATGAAAAACATCTCTGAAATGGAGGCACTTGCACCATTAGGAGATATTTGCTTTGTGTAAGGCATACCTCTACTGAGCAGAGATGCTGCTGAGACTATGCCAGCAAAATCTTAAACCCAGAAGAACCCAAGATGTACACCTCCCAGAGACCATGACTGAAAGAAATTTACTGTCATTAATGCTCACCCCTCTGGCTATGTTTAACATACCACCTGCAAATGATTAGATACTAAATGGCACAATCTCTTTTGCACTGGACAAAGACAATCCCAAACCATTACAGCTCTCTACTAACAGCAGATTCTGGTCATAAATTTGCTTTGTATGCTAAGCTTTAAAAAATATATTTGGGAGCCACTCAATTTTTTAGAATAGAGACTTATCCCTAGAGCTCTGGTAAGTTACAAGCAAGCATGACCATGTCAACTTGACATAAAGCTGGCCTAAAATTCACTGAACACCTACACACGAGGAAGAGAGGAATGTGAGGCCCGTGATCCTCTACTGAGTAATAAATTCAGCATAGATACATGCTATATTTTCCTTTAAGCAATTAGCAACTCATGCCATTTGCAATTTACATGGTTGCAGCTTATGCCACCTTTAGTGAAATTAAGTACTGTAAAAGACACTACACATTTAAATCTTTCACCAATTTTCAGCCTGTTATAGTTTGATCACTAATTAGTCCTTGGCAGCCCTGTTTATTTTTGGCAGGTTTGGAGAGCTCAGATTTTCACTGAAGAGCACAGAAATGGGAAAGGCAGTCCCAGCCAATGCTGCTGACAGAAATCTAACCAAAGGTTTCTTACTGACACTCGAAGTGTCAGACCACAGATATCTTTTGTCCATGGGGGCGCAGAACAAACCCACAGCGCTTGAGCAGCACAACTACTCCATACTTAGATCACTGCAAGCTATCTACGGCTGCATCTGGATGGCCAGCAGATCAAGAGACACACAGAGCTGGCAATTCAAATACAGCTCACTTGCTAACTCTTAGGTTGTTATTTCCCCCACCTCTCCCCTCCAACTGTCCAGTTTTTATTATTGCTATTTATGAAAGAAGCTTGCTTCGAAGAGCATCAGTAATGTAATCAGCAAACAGCCTTGGGAGTGTGGCCTTGTGTGGGCACGAGTAGTTCATGCATCACCTGCTCCCAAGGGAGGCAGCAGTTCTTGCAACACCCTGCAAGTCCAGTCTTTCCCAGGGGAGATCAGGGCTGGCTCTCAAGGACAGAAGATAACTGGGAAAGAGAAATCGGGCCCGAGGTTAGAGAGCTGGGCCGTGCTGTACAAGAGGCCCTCCCCCAACCGGAATCCAAAATTAGAAAGACAGAGAAAGGAAACTGGGGAAGGGTGTCTCTCTTTAAACCACAGTGTGGCCAGAGCTAAGCTGATAATGTCAGGAAGTCTGAAATGATTCAATTAGCCCATGCAGAAGCAATACAGATTCACAGCACTGGGAACTATCTCCTCTTTGCTTTCTTTTCTGACCTGCCCAGCACAGTTCTGTGAACTATCAACCAAACATTTTTGTCCAGAGGTGAAACAAGCCCTAAGGAAATGCACTTTGACAAAACATAACATATTAACGCAAGACCATACAGAAAAGGCCAAAGTCCAAAGTTACCAACTCACGGGAACACAGCTGGACACGCAGCTGATGACCTCAGCTATCACACTGCAAGGCTTAAACTGGTACAGTTACTTTGGTTTCTTCCCTTCTCCCTACTAGTGTTCCGGGAAGTAACCCACACTCTCACCCATTTAGCTACACATCTGCTAAATTTATTTCTGGCAAGATGATTCTAATTTACTTACAGAAACATCCTCCTTCAGGCTAAATTAAATTAGTGGAGATATGGCTATCTGATAAAATAGCATTTAAGAGAAATGCTGTCACAAATCAGAGTGATGAAAAATTTCTAAATTAAAGAACCCAAAGTTACTTCTGTACAAGCAAGTAGTAAGGGCATACCTAATTTTTCATCTTTACACTTCTGATTGATTTTAATGAAATATCAGTCAAGCTTTGTGCCCTTCTTCCTGAATACCTCTCCAAGCCCTGTGAAGAGAACAGAAACTGGAATTTCAGTCAAGGTCATTGCACATGTCTGGGCTCAAGGGTCTCCCTTGTGTTTTCTAAAGGCTTTCCTCAAAGTGTATTTTCACAAGCATTAAACACATATTACTGCAGCTTTGAAAAAAAGATGACTTCTCTACTTATGCAGTGACACATACATAGGTAAGTAAAGGTAAGGCTATTACCAAAGGCATTCTTCTTCTGAGTGGGAGGTTTGGGCTAGAACAAGTTTCATTTGCAGATGGCTGCAGGGGCAGCACGTTAGTTAAACGTCCTCACCTGAGAAACACAGCTCTGCCTGTTACTGCCCCACGGTCCAGCACCCCACCTGTGACAGCCACCCCGCTGAGCTTCCCCGGCCCTGACTGACCAGCGCAGCCCAGTTTGGATGGGTGGGGAGGGCAAACAGCGCTGGAGCAGATGAACTCCGCTTACACAGCAAAGAGAATGGGAGTCTTGGGAGCAAAAGGGCAGAGAAGTGGGGTCGAGAACTCAATGATGGAAAAAAACAACAAAAAAAATCTCTTAACTGAAAATCGCTTTTTACAGCTGCCCAGCTCCACCAACGCCCTTACTCTCACAGTCTTGTAGTTACGGACAGTCTACCCCAGCCTCCCAGGAGAGGCTGCCATTGAGGGACTTCGCGCCGCCCCGGGGTTTTCCCCTATACTCCCTGTTCTGGCTAGCGCAGTCAAACCCCGGTGACGACGCCTGGAACCAGGCGCCAGCACCTGTCCCCGGCACCCACTGAGTGACAAGGAGAAGCGGCAGACCCAGGGAAAGGGCCGGGGGCAGCAAAGCGGCGAGCAGGGCCCAGCGACCTCTGCCCGCGGCTCCGGGTGACTGTCCGGCCGCCGCCGCCGCTTACCGGTCCCCCGGCTTTCCAGCCACTGAGGTGGAGCCAAACCCGGGCGAGAAAAGCCTGCGCGCAGCGGGGGTGGCTCCGGGCGCACAGGAGGACCAGCTGGAGCCGCCCTGCAGCGGAGGCCCAGCAGCCTCTGACCAGGCCGTGCTGCCCCGCACTCGCGGGACCGAGCACCGGGCGGGCCAGGGCCGCCGCTCAACCGCCGTAACGGCCCTCACGGGTCCGCCGCCCCCCACCTCACCTCCGCCCGCCGGCACCGCCCGGCTCATCCCGGCCGCCGCCAGGGCCGCGCTCCGCCCCCGCCGCACGCCGGGCCGGAACGCGCTGCGCCGGCGCCGCAGCCGCCGCGTCAGCCCAACGACGGGGCGGGGGGCAGCGGCCGGCGGGGCACGGCGCTTGCGTCCGCCCACGAGTGGGGCAGGGTCGGCTGCTAGCGGGGCAGGGCTTGGTCTGCTCTGCTCGGTAGTGCATTTCTTTTCCGGGAAGTCCAGGCAAGGTATGCCTGGGAGGTATAAGCCAGGAAGGCAACAGCGGCCTTTCCTGGTGCCATTGTCACTCTGCAGCAGACCCCCCCCGGCTTCTGGGTCCGGGGCCTGCGGCTGCCCGTCTTCCGTGGCACAGCAGCAACAGCTGCAGAAACGACGGGTTTAATAAACAACGTGAGTTTTAAAATGAACCACTAATACCTCGATATATGGCTATGTTTCTAGTGGACCCAAGTTAAAAAATTCCGTTGTTACTCCGGCGTCAGCCATATGGCAGCAGCGCTGGTACAAGTGGAGCCGCAGGCAGGGCTTTGCCAGGCTGAGGTAGCGGAGCTTGCAGGCTTCGCTTCTCCCTGCGCTGTCCTTTGTGGGTCGGTTAACATCTCTGTTCCGTGGTTCCTCCACCTGAAGAATGGGGAAGAAGATAGCGGCCAGTTCCACTGCTATGTTGTGCTGTACAGAGACATTGTGAAAATGGGAAGTGCTCCAGCACCATCGCATTTTTGTTGCTGGGTGGAGGAAGGTTACACTTCCTCTCATCAAGTAGCCCCTGTGAGGAGAAGCTAAAAGAATTTCCAAATTACAAGAAGTCAGTGAAGCAGGGAAGATTGGGAAACAGCCACGATGCATCAGTTTTGCTACAGCTTTGCAGGAGGTGAACTGTTTTCCTCCAGGAATTACACAGGCTATGGTTTGCGAAATGCTATAACAAATGGGAAAAAAAGGGATTGAGAAGACAATGGGGTGGTGCAACAAACAAACGGGCAGAGTCCACGCCAAACTGAGAGTTGCTGGCTTTTATTTGTTTGAAAAAAGTCCAGCCCAGCACTCTCATTATATCCACTGCTTTCCTAAGCAACCATTTGTTCTTCCTGTATAGTAAATCCAGCCAAAGATGGGCTAAGCACTTTCAGAGCAACAAGATGAGTCCTCTGGCCTTTATGAAACACACAGTGAACAGGCTGCACAAGGCAAGTGCTTAGGCCATGAAGTTACAACAGGAATGTATTAAATAGAAGGAAGATTCCTCCCCCAGTCCATCAGTACTGCAGTGCTCTCTGGCACCTCTGCACTGAAATCATGGCATGACCCAGGCAATCATTAGTACAGTCTACACTGATCATTTGAGACATATAAATGGGAGTCCAAGTTCATGAGATCCTCTTTAAAAACTCATGATTTGAATTCTTAAATGTGGTGTTTTATAAGCCTTCGGGTTTTGCCTGTGAGGATCAGCCTTATCACGTGTTCATGCTTTGTCTCTGTCCATGAGGGCTAGTAGCAGATCTTTAAAAACTGGAAGCTGAGATTCTCAGATGAGAAGATGCTTGTAAACACTGAGGCTTTATGGAATGAAAGAAAGACATGAGACTTGTGAATATTAATAAATAAATAAATAAAAGCCAGACTTGGCAATGCCGAGAGAAAGGACTGAATACCAGCTGCATTACTATAACATTTTTGTGGCCAAACTTGCAGCCCCAATGTTTTAATGATGGCAGCCTTTGCTGTATTTAACAGAAGCCTGGATCTGATTTTTTTTTTTAAGAATAAAAGGGCTTTTGAATGCTCTGTAAAGGCAGTTTCCTGACTTCAGTGATTGCTGACACAAACACCAAAACTAAATCTCCCACATCTTGAGCTAAAGCAACAATTCCATTAATTTGGACAGCAGTGAGCTGTACAGGAAGTGGTTGCTGGAAGAGGACACGTAGCATGAACTGAACCATGTCTCATGTCGCCAAGCAAGGACAGGGCCAAGGTACATCTCCATACAACCATGTTTTGTTTGGAGGCTGCTAACAGTCAGTCTGAATTCACAAAAGAATGCAAATAGCCACATCAGGAAACTCAGCAAAAGATGATTTGCACTGGCAGGGTTTGTTGTCCCTGCCTATTTTTCCACTTCTGAATAGGAATAAAATTAAGGTCCACTCCAAAAGCTTGCACATTCCTTCGTATAACTTCAGGTTGTGATGTAAAAACTAGACTAGCAGAAATATCTGTACATCTATACTTATCAATAAATACATCGAAAGGATTGTTGTTAATTGCAACAAAGTAAAAAAAGCTTTAAAAAAGGTACATTCACAGCAGGTGAATTCAAACCTGAACACAACTACAGACAATGGAGTGTGGCTACTCTTTGGCCTACAGTTCCTGAAGTTTGAAGGTTCTCCAGGCTGTAAGAAAGTTCATGAGGACAATCCTTCTATAGCACAACAATACAAGGGGTGGTAAGGAAGCAGTAATGCAACAGAGATACCCCAGACTCCCCTGTGAGGAAATATGCCAACTACATAGTTTAGTCTCTGTACTTTTGTTCCCTGCCCAGGTACTGAACATAATCTTGATCAGTCAGAGCAGCTTCGCCCGTGCTGCCAACCTCCCTGTAGACACCCCCACACCCTTATATTCTGCTCATGATTCCACCCCTGTTTGTTAACTTTGTCCTCCCAGGCAAGGACAAGTGCATAGCAGCTCCTGGAAAGAAGATCATTTCAGCGTATTTCGGAGGTGAATATTCTGAAATTTAAACATTGACTTCTATCTCACAGTTTACAAAAGTGGCATTTCTTCTTCCCTCAAATTCAATGGACTTGATAAAGATTAAGCCTTGTATCAGTACAGCCATATAGATAGGCACAAACCTCATTTAAAAGGTTGCCAATTTTCCAGCTGCTCATCTCACTACATATCAGTTAGCCCAAAGCAAGGGCTGGCAATGGAGCAAACTCCAAATTGGATCTGCAAAGTGACCTGATTTAAAGAAGAGAAAAAAAAAAAGACAACCAACCCAACCCCCCCAAACTCCCACAACATTTTAAAAGCAGGCTTCTCGCAGCTTGCTTAGAGTGCGCTCCATGGCCTATACAATTCATCCAGGGCAAGTTCTGCCAGAGGTGGGGGACCTCTGACATTTCCATCACATCAGGGTGAGGTTTTGAGTTCCTCCCCTGTGATTATAACCCAATTATATAAATACAGGCAGAACTTTTGAGGTACAAAACAACTGCTACTTGCACATTTACTCAACTGCATTTAAAATATCTGTACTTTCATAATTACAACATTGACAAGGATTTCAGAGGGAAGGCTAATTTTCTTGAGGAAGAGGTCATACTAAAGTGATTGAGGATAATGTGCATTAATATCAACAATACAGACTGCTCCACCACAAACTCCTAGAGTGAACCTCTCTGTTTCTGACATTTCAGGGTAGTGCTTCACCCCACAGTGACCAGCAGTGCTTGCCAGTTAGAGGCATTTATATCTCTAGCCCAGGCTGAAGGGCAGAAAATACTTCTGTTCCCTGTCCAATTGCAAGTCAGAATAGCTTGGGCAAACCTCACTGGTGGTTTAAGCATTGTGCAGAAGGGTGAAAAGCCACACAGCCCATCAGCTCTGCTATGCCGCTGATGGCTGCCCTTAAACAGGTGGGAGCAGTGAAGTCCTAAGTGATTCTTGCTGCTTGCAAGGATAGATGGGTCTGAGTGCTTCTTGGAATTCGATTCTACAGGACACGGACAAGGCTGCTTCCCTGCCCTGCAGATGTGTTTTTTAAGTAAGCAGGTTGAAGTCACCAGGCCCCAGGTGTAACTGTAGAAGCGACTGTGGAAGTGAAATAGACACCCCTAACACAGTGTTTAGCTTTGCACTTGGATAGTCCATAATTCTATCTTGCTGTATGTCTGCACAGACCAGAGCTCACTGAGACCATGTAGAAGTTATATTTAAACTGCTATTCCAGGTACCACAGGCAGTGTCATCATGGCACTGATACAGTGCAGGCTGTGGAGCCCACTTATGAAACCGAGAAAATATGCAGGTGACCACACTCTGTTGCACTCTGTAGCTCACTAGGGCTGTTACTCAGCTAGATAATTTAAAGCTAGTTCTAAGTACAATTCCGCATGCTTACTTAGGCAGTGAAATCAGCTGGGGAAGTTTCTTGCCTCCAGTCACTCTTTTTCACTTATTTTCTTTTCCTGTTCTCTTCCACTGTCCCTCCAGGTGTGCCACTACTACTATCTGTGAAACTCAGTGGAAATGGAATGCTTGAATTTATCCACATCGAGGGGGGAAAAAAAAAAAAAAGCAATATCCAAAAGTTTTTCTCTGGAGTTGCACAGTGATGAACGGAGGCAGGGACAGGCTAAAGCGATCAAGGCTGGAAGGATATGCAAAATCCAGTTAACCACTAGCAAAAACGTACATGAAAACATGGTCTCAGAATAGGTACGCCCAGTCACTGCTCTAGTAGTGAACAACAGCCCTTAAACATGCAGAAATGATGCTAGTCCAAATGGTGTTACAGAAAGGATAAATACAATCTCTTCCTGCCAGTATATTCTTCATTAAAACATGTTTGGTTTGTTCTAACAGTGACACACTAGAGGCAAGATCTGGAAGAAGGCTGCCTCCTGGAAGCACACTGCTGGTGCACAACATCCTACTGGTACATTTTGTCTTTTCCTTGGCAGCCAAATGTGGGACTTTCTTTTGACACTGTGCTGCCTTTCACTCATATCAGATTGCAAGGGGCTGTTTTATCAGAAACAGAAGAGTGAAATGGAATAAGGAATAAATTAGAAGCAGGACTAAGCTGTTGTTGCAGTTCTTAAAATTTGAAAGAAAAAGAGGTAAAAACCTCATGCAGCAGAGATTTGATTATTAGTTTTCTCAAATGATACCATTATTGTAACTGCCAGCTCCTTCTATATCACTCTGTAGCTACAGTCATTGCAGCACGAGAATTGTACATGCAGAAGGATGTAGAATGTGCACTGTAGGACAGAAATAAGGATGTTACCATCAGTGAAAATCTTTGTTATCATGAGAAGCTGGAGAAGTTGATGGCCGTCTTCAGAAAGAAAGGAGAGTGCTGAAGGGGCCTTCCTACATATTTTCAGATCAGTGAAAGGGAATTGTGTTTATGCATTACCCTTTGCCTAGGAGAATCAACTAGGAGAAAGTAAGATCGAACGAGGAGTTCAAAATGAAGTAGGAAAGGATGTCATTGTTTCCCAGTGTCTTACCAAGACATTCATACAATATTGGATCTGATCTGCTATATCTAAGGCTTTTGAGACATAATGAACTTGCTTTTCAAAGTAGAACTGGCAAATAAAATAGCTTATTCACCTCTACTCAGAAGTCACTCCAGGAGGGAAAATCCAGGCAATATAGTTGGAGACCTCACACTCACAGAAAATGTTTGTGATGACAAAGTTTTTTATTCAGAAATATGCCCATTTTCTGAGTTGAATCTGCAAGCGAAAGGGGAATGCCTCAACCTGAACTGGGGGGGGGGGCACTCCAGCTTGGGAAGTACAGTCTCATAGAGATTGGCATGGTTTGATTTAGGTATTTCAAGAGATGTAGCAGAAGACCAGTACTCGGTCAATCTCTGCTTAAGAGACGCCAGTTCATCCTGTGTCCTTGAAATTTTGTAAGCTAAGCAGATAACCATCCTGACCACACGGATCCAAAATGTTCAGAAACAGCCTTTGATACTTACAGTCTTTGGAGGAGCTACAGAAAAAAAACACATCCCACTAGCAAAAGAGCTAAACTCTTCTGTGTGAGTGCCTTTAAAACAAATGTAAACTCTCACATAAGCAGTCAAATGAGAAATTCATGTGCAGGGCTGAGCCCCAGGTGAATAGCCAACCTTATTAGCGTGAAGCATCAGTTGCTTGCATTTGAGGGGTATCCAGTGTGGTTGCATTCGTAATACAAACAAAGCAAATTTGAATAATTTTTCACAATACAGTGTCTGACTTCCTCTTAGAAAGAGGAAGGAATCTCAGAGTTTAGGACCTGGACAACCTCACTAGGCAACACATTGCAATTTAGTTCCTAGCTGGTAAAACTGGAATAATAATTCCCTAGCAAAGTGGGATCCTGTAAAGATGAGCATGTTCTGGGCACTCAGCTAGCAGAGATACCATGGCTGAATACAGAGCTATTAGAAGAGCTGAAGGGGATCTTGCTCCCCTTGTCCCAAAGTAGTATCAAGGTAGGTGATGTCAAACCTACCCTAAAACATATTTACATCTACCCTTCCCAGCCTGGTGCCATCTCTAGGTTTAATATGGACAATCCCTTTCCAGGACTCACCTGCACAATCAAATCTTTTTTTGTCACACATTTCCTGTGGTTGCTTGTGATTCTTAAAGAGCAGATTCCTCTCCTTTTTATTATGACTCAGAAGTTCTCAATTTGCTCCCATCAATCTGCCAAGGCAGGCATACTCAGATGAGATACTTCAAGTAATACCTTATTCCTTTTCCTCCTGCCTGTTCTCCCTAAGCAGTCTGTACATATAGAGAAGCTTTAACCAGCTGATGCCTTCAAAATGCAAGTCCAACAAAACTTGTCCCCTTCACACTGAACCTGAATGAGTTGCAGAGCCTCTGGAAGAATAAGGCCTTGTCTGCTGGAGTTTTTCAAACTATGCATCTCTTTGATCCCTTTCCCAATATGCAAAATACTAAAATTCTCTCCTGAATTTCATTACACATAAAGACATGAAAGTGCAATTTTTCCTTACTCATCAATAACTATCCACCAACCCTAGCTCCAAGCTAGACCA